TTATGTTGCAATGGGAGCTGTCCTGCCATCCTTCTGGGGACAGCAACCACTCGTTCAACAACAGTTGACCCTAGGTGCTCAGCCTCCAGTTGCTCAGGTGATGCAGGGAGGACAGCCAATAGCCTGGGGCCAACCTGGTATTTTTTCTCCTACCCAGCAACCATGGCCAACCGTAGCTGGTCAGTTCCAGCCAACTGCCTTCATGCCAACACAAACTGTTATGCCTATACAAGCAGCCATGTTTCAAGGTACCATTGCTCCCATTGCTACTGTTCCACCCACAAGCGATTCCACCAGATCAAGTCCACAGACAGACAGGCCCAGACAGAAAATGGGAAAAGAAATGTTTAAAGATTTCCAGATGGCTCAGCCTCCTCCAGTGCCATCAAGAAAACCAGATCAGCCTTCCCTCACTTGTACCTCAGAGGCCTTCTCAAGTTATTTTAACAAAGTTGGGATGGCACAGGAAGCAGATGATTGTGATGACTTTGACATCTCTCAGTTAAATTTGACTCCTGTGACTTCTACAACACCGTCCACAAACTCACGTAAGTACCTTAGTGCTTTCAACCATAATGCTCTTCAATGTGACTGTCTCCTTTACAATGTTTTCCTTTCCCCTGATGAACTAAATTGGATCACATACATCAAGTTCATATTTTTCTGCACCCAAATCCTCTCAACTATAATGCTTCTCAGTTGTAACTGTCTCCTTAGAGCATTTTCTTTTCCTCTGACCTGCTAAATCAGATCACAAATGTAGACTTAGTGTCTTCATGCATGATCAAGCTTTTTAAACACGTCCTGGAATTAAGAGTGATCCAGATTTCAAGTGAACTGAAATGTAATTTATACGAAATTTTACGAACGAGGTAATATGTCTGCTCTTTAAAATAAGCCTATGCTAAGTACATTTGAGACTATTTGAAAAATGCTAAAACCATAGATGAGAAAAATATTTACTCAGCAGTGGTGAGGGAGCTAAATACATCCCAATCAGGCCACCTTTAAGGAGGACCTACAGGATAATAAGACATTCCTATGGCCCTAGTAGTGGGGAGTGCATGTTTTGGTGCACAAATGTGCTTATTCTGTATCGGGGTAGGCAACATTTTTTGGCCAGAGTGCCAAAAAAACCCACAATGGTTACCTTGGAAGGTGCCAGAGTGCAAACATAATGAGGGCAGGATGTACATGGCAGGATGCCCTGCTTGTGCCCCTTGCCCCGCACCCAAAGCCCCTGCCCCCCAGCCTGGGCTCTGTGGCTGTCAGCAGCTACCCAGAACCTGGGTCAGATGAAAACATCTGTTGCCTCTCTGCCCCGGCCCCAGCTGCCTCCCAGGCCTGGCCCTAGGCTCCAGGGAGGCAGCACATACTGGCAATGCTCCCTGCTGTGCTGTCCTTGCCACTTCTGCAGAGCAGCATTGGAACCTGGCGCGGCAGGGCACAGCAGGGGGCACAAAAAGCTGCCTGCTACCAGCTCCCTGCTGCCCTGCCACATTTCCCCTGCGTGCACGGGAGTAGCGTGGGGAACAGCACAGGGTTGTGGCCCTCGCTGCTGCCCCTGCCTGCAGGGGAAGTGTGGCAGGGGAGCTGGGAGCAGGCAGCTTTTGAACCTTGATCAAGCTCCCACAAAAATCAGTCATCTTTCTATTGACTTGTGTATGAGCTGGATTGAACCTTTTGAGATTAACGTCTTGTAAATGTATGATTCCCAGAGACTTTACAGGTGGAGTTTCCCTAAGCACTCAGCCCTGTGGCCCTATTTAAGTCAATGATAAAACGACTGACATCTGTAGGTGCAGTGTTAAACCAAGGCTGAGCACCATTGAAAATCCCATCTATAGGCAATTATTAACTTACGCAGTGTGAGATGTTAAATAAAGAACAGAACAGAAACTTGTAACTTCTGTTCAAATCAAAGCGGAAAGTCTAAAAATATTTCTAATGAAGTAGAGGCAGAAAATAAATGCAATTGGTTATGTTTGAGTGATAATAGATGTATAAGAAATCTGTAAAAGATGATGGCCTATCCAACAGCATTGTTTTCTGGATTTATGTAAAGCTGCATCATGAAGATATTTTGGTGGGGTTTGGAATATCAAAATATCATATCAGAATTTCATCATCAGTTTAATCATAAAATCCCTCAAGATCCATCTCAACTAAAATCAAATATCCTACCTGTGAAGCGTGTTTCAAAAAAAGCTACAGGAAGATCATATTAAAATTAAATTTGTTTCAAATCACAACATTCAAATACTGGCTGGTGGAATCATCTTAATTCAGAGTGGCTGGATGGAATAAAAATTTGGAGTTGGTGGGCTTTTTTATTATGATTTTTCAGACTGCAGGCTATTTGATTTTGGGTGCTTAATTTTACAGAATACAGCTTCTCAGAAAATAGCATTTTGGGGCAATGTAAACACGGATATTAGATATGAGCAGGTTCTGAGTTGCCTGACTCTCTGAATAAATGTAATCATTGTATTTTCTATTGTTATTACCATCACCTTTGTTTAGCTCCAACCCCTGCTCCCAGACAGAGTTCTCCATCCAAATCATCAGCATCTCATACCAGTGACCCTACTGCAGATGACCTCTTTGAAGAGGGGTTTGAAAGCCCAAGCAAAAGTGAAGAGCAGGATGCTGTGAGTAGCGATATGACTTTTAATATGAACTTGACTTTTTCTAACTAGGAAGCAGAAAGGAATTACTGAAAGTGACTTGGTAATGACAAACAATAACTCCTTTGGTTGATTTTTAAAGGGATGCTGCAGAGAATATTAATGACCAAGTACATGGTTTTAGCATCTGAAAGGATTAGCATGGAATTTAAATAGATATGCATTAAAATTGGACTATGTGATAAATGTGGGGGAGGGGGGTTCATTTAGCAACCCACACAATTCCATAGACCAATTTGGACTCGTGTTGATGTATAAGGGAGTCCAAGTCATGAACATGCTGAGGAAGCAAAAAGAAGCATAAGAGTATGTATGCTGATTAGGGGGTGGCTGATTTTGATTTGCAGATTCTAATATCTCAGCTGCTTTTCTTACTGTGCTCCTCAGCACTCTGGCCACTCAGCATACCATTTTTCTCCTTTAGACTCCATTACACCTAAAAGACTCAGTGGGCCCAAGCTAGAGGTATTAGCCAACTGGGCACTGTAAGGCACAAGTTGGCCTGGTTAAACAAATGTAAGTCTAAGTGAATCAACAGAAGTCTCGAGGGAGCCTAAATACTCTGATTTACATGCTGAGGGTATAGAAAAAAAGGTGTAAAATACACAAGCTTAGAATATCTGTGACTCACATAGATTTGCTTATGAATTTATTCCAAGGTCTGCTTTCAGGACCTGATTTGTTTTATTCATTATAGTCTGATCCAGTATCCATCAAAGTCAGTAACAGCTTTTCTATCATCTACAGTGGGCCTTAGATTAATCTCTTTATACGTGAAATACATGTTTGAAATCAATGGGAAATTTAAGGATGTATCAGTTGTATGATCTCATACTGTGTGTTTAATACCTACAGTAGCTGCACATGGTTGGATGTGCCCATATAATGAAAATAACCTCTTACTGCCTTTTCACTTTTATTGTTGAGAAAAAAAAGGTGTTATGTTCTTGTATTCTAGCCTGATGGATCTCAGGCCTCATCCAACAGTGATCCATTTGGTGAGCCCAGTGGTGATACTATAAATCCACAGGTCGGTAGCTAGATAGCGCAGGTTTGGGTAGGTATCCGTCCTTTTTTTCCTCTCACTGTCTTGAGGTGTTTGCTTATTCCTCCACCAATGCCTACCATCACATCCATGGATGCATGATTTATTTTCCCTTTTCATCTTTTCCTCCCCTTCACCCACAATTTATTCTTTACTCCCAATGGTTTGCATGGCTTTTGCCATCTGTTAAGTGTTGCAAAGTGTACAGTTTTTGTGTGTTGCAGATGCCTGCATGCTTTAAACAATGCACTTGTGGATTTGTTTCTCAATAATATTAAAATTGTTAAGGGAAAAAAATAAGGAAAACTCAGAGATGATTGATAAATCATGATTGAATGCATCAGGCAAAAGCTTATATTTAACAAAAATGACTCTGGCATTTGCCTTGGTGCAACGTATACTAAGGGGAGGAGACCATCTTACCCAGTGGAAGGAATTTAAATAAATGAATAAAGACACATGAACACCTTTCCCCACCTCCCAAATCAATATAATAGGTCAGTTGGAGAAATGCCTTTCTCAATATCTGTACATAAAAGAATTGCAGTATTGAATTTGAAATGTGGGGGTTTTTATCTCTAGCATCTAATTAAAGGCACAAGAAAATGATAGTGATTATATATTGACATAGACATACTAATTCTTTTTTTAAAGTTACTGTTGCACATAAAACATTTAAATCTAGTCATGTGGAAAGATAACCTTTTCAACTTCTATGCAACAAAACACTGCATGTATTAATGTGCACTAAGGTGCTTAGATATTTTCCCTCTGTTATACATATGTGTTTTGTCAAAGACCTTGTGAAGCTACAGTGAAAATGAATGTTGAGCGTTGTCATTCTGTCCAAATATAATTTACCGTCACAATTTAAAGAATATATTTCATTAGCTGTTCTCTATTGTACTTGTATTTTTGTATTAATTAGGTGCATTACTTAATATGGCTTGTTTCTCATCACTGACCTGCTGAGGTAAATTTATAACAAAGGTAGAATAATCTTATTTTGTCTAGGTACTGCACTGTATTATACAGCTTAGTATCTGTTTTAAGCTTAAATATTTTAATCTCTACTTAAAATTGATAGTTTCATTAGAGAACAGTTTATTTAATATATTAAAATATGATAAAAGATATTCAGGTAATTTAGCTTCGTTTCATCTTGGGGAAGCATTTCCTAATTCAGCGTAAAAAAGAGAATGACCCCAATATTCAGCCGCATCGTAAGCTGTGGGAGAAGGAAGTAAAAGTACCTTAATCTTTACTTTTTGTGAAATAAGCTACCTTTTTGCCTTTCCCATCCTGGAAAGAAAGGTATTGAGGTGAAATCAGCCATAGCTCAAGTTAGAGCAGTCACAAGGCTAATTTACACCAGCTAGAACTGCTCTCTTTGGAAATGATGAATGTTATGGGGGTTAGCAGCCCACGTAGTAATTCATTTCTACTTTCTCTTGCTCCTTTCTGTCTCCAGCCACACTGACATTGGAGAACAGAGGTCTTGAGAGAGGCTGGCCATCTGTTTTTCCTTATGCCCCTGCAGAATTCTTCTGTTATTTGGAGGGAGAGAGTCTGGCCATTAATCCAAATTACAAACTCACTTTAAAGCTATGCATGGATGTTTGTTTCTTATTATCTGTTTATTATATAAGTATCATGCTCACGATAGCTCTCACCTGAATAAACCCCTCAAGTGAATCATAATGACAGCATCTGGTTTGAATTGTTGACCACCACAAAAATGGCTTGTGTCATCTGGAAGCCAGTATTTCACATAGCTTTTCCCTATCAAGACTGGCTGGTTGCTTATAACAAGAGTGAAAGTTGAATAATTACATACCACCCTTAGATTGCAAAGTGCACATATCACGACACCCGTGCTTATTTAACACTGTGCAAAATGGTGTGGACAGGGGCTTCTAAGAGCTACCACAATACAAATATTAAATAATAACATATGGTCAGGACATCTATATTGCCTCTTGCATTTGAACATGTGGCTGACAACACTCATGTCACTCTGAGCAACATAACGCATTGTTACTGTTTTTATTAAGTATACTGGTAGTATCTAAGAGCCCAGCCATGGGCCAGGGCCCTGCTGTAGTCATCACTACATAAACATGGAACAGAAAGACAGCTCCTGCCTGAGAGGGCTTATTTTCGAAATTTCATTGCATCTCAGCACAGTGCCACAGTGTGTAGGAAATTTGCCTCCTGTAATAAGCCCCCAACTCTAAAGCATTATATAATAAAGAAAGGCAGGGGAAGTCCTTATCCCAGTCTCCACAGAGAATTGTAAATAGGAGACATAAAATAGCATGCCTATTAGGCCCAGCATTTTTTGCTTAATTTTAATTTGTTCTTCTAGAATAGGACTGCCTTCTTCACGGGAGCTATTTTTGTACGTAAAAGGCAAATTGCAATCGGCTGGACATTTCAGAGCATAGCTGTTCAGAGCAAGAATTGCACGTTATCCAAGTGGGACGAATGAACTTCCCCAAATCTTGATAATACTACAGCAGACTTCCAGAGTGATTCAATTCCTGATACCTTCATAATCTACTGTTCACATACACTATCTCTGCCTCCTCTATCTCAGGGTATTTAGTATACTTACCTACCTGCTGTTTCCTAATCTGATCTGAGTTTCTATGTTAGCAGTTCAGTTTCTTGGGTCCTTCATTTAGAATAACTTGGCACCTATCAATTGCTATCTCCACATCTATATTTTTCCTCTCATCCTCTTGCAATCCTAAGAAGTTTGAAAGCTTCAGTTTATCACAACAGCAGCCATTATCACAACTACCCTTTTTAGTAATGACTGTTGAGTGCCTAGTCAGTAAATCTGACATTTATTGACAGGTTAAATCTTTGAACCACTATGATTTGAGACCAAAATAGATCATTCACAGCTAAAGGAAGTTTGACTCTTTTGCAGAGCTATTTCTGGTAGATAGAATTACATTCGGTCATTTTCTCTCTTGAGAGAAAGCCAAATGTGCGTAATTATTGCAAAAAAAGAATAATGAATAACATACCTTCATTAGGTGGTTTTTGATTTTTTTGCTTAGGTGGCATAATATTATTGCTTTCTCTAGCATGTGTGAGAGGGTAAAAGGGGAGAAAAAACAAAGATATGTATTTACCTAAGTTTTAGGAAAGAAATTACATTTTTTACTGTCTAGGTTAAGCTTCATTTATTCTAAGTAATGCTAGAAAAGTCTTTTTTTAGTCATCTTCCTCCTCAGTACATGTGGTTCCTATTACTATAGATGACAAGGAAGGGACTAAATCTGAGATGTGCCAGGTCTCTGCAACTTTCATTGAGATGCCCTCAGTACATCTCAAATTCAGTTCAACATTAGCAGGTACATAATAATATATTAATAATATATTAATATAGGGTCACAAAGCATGAAAAGAAACAATAGATTGTTGTGGAGGTAAAAGGCCGTGGACAGAAGATCAGAAACCTTTAATTTTTTTTACATCAGTGGCTGAACAGGATTGGCTGACCTTATGTCCTGATTACATAATCATTAGGGCTGTGCGACACTTTGGTCCATGATTCGATTCGGCAGAGATTCGGCCCAATTCAGTGACCGAATCGCTGAATCCAAATTGAATTGGAGGACCCTTTAATCTCTCTGAATCGAATTAGGACCCTCCAAATCAATTCAGAGAGATTCGGAAAGATTCAGCGATTCGGACATAGACATAGCTTTAAATGTTTTTTCTACATACCTCTAGGTAGCAGGCATGGCTTATGAATGCTGCAGTGCTGGGGTGCATGGAGCATCCCACAGGAGTGTGAGGGGGTCCCCAGTATGCTTGGCAGCAGACCTGGAAGTGGATCAGGTGCACTTCCAGTCCACTTCTGGGTCCACCGGGGAGCACACTAGGAGGCCCTCGTGCACCATCCCCCCTGCCTCGGTGACCAGTGCTTCCTGGGTCTTGAGGGGGCACCCAGGGTCCCCCCACGGCTGATTGCCAAGCTGGGAAGGTGCCAGGGGGCTCCCCAGTGCACTCCCTGGTGGACCCAGAAGTGGACCAGAAGTACTTCCGGTCCACTTCCGGGTTCACTGCCGAGCATGTGGAGGGCCCCCCCGCACTCCTGCGGGACACTCCATCCACCCCACCATTGCAGCATTCACGAGCTGCGCCTGGTGCCTCAAAGTACGTAGAAAAAACATTTAAAGCTGTTTCTATGTCTGAATCACTGATTCTCTGAATCAGCATCAAAAATTCAGATTCGGCCAAATTGAATCAGGGACAGTGATCCAAATCAATGAATCAAATCACGGTCCCTGATTTGGGCCAAATCTGAATCGAATAGGGCCTGCTTTGCATGTCCCTAATAAGCGTTCAATATATTCATCAAAGTCACCTGTATCTTGCCTCTATTCCTAATATCACAAGAATATCTAATATCCCAAAAAATAAAATTCTGTAATGCAATCCTTTACAGACTACAGATTAATTCCTATAGAAAAATAACGATTGTGAGTAAAATTTGGCAGAGTCAGAGGCCCAGCAGTTTATCTCTGAGCCTAGACCAACCATGCAATTGGCCATCACTTTAGCCAGAGGTATTTTTATGCACCCCCCACCAGATAGCAACCAAGTCTGCAACCCCTGTTGCCTCTCCTCAGTTATACTACAGGAAGGAGTGCTAGGTATCCTTTGGGCTCACATATTTCAACCAAAGGCATTTAAAACAACAGAGAAAGTGTGAATCCACTGGGCACATCTACACATTAATTCAAAGCTGTAGAGCCTAGTGCATATTATGCCTGAGTTTATTGCTCCTAGGCCCAGCATTTGAATGTGCTCCTGGGACTGCAGCACATTGAACCAGGTTGCAGCCCCGGCTGGCACATGTAGACACAGAGATGTTTACTGTGGAGCTAATTAGGCAGTTCCTCAGTAAACGTCTTGTGTAGATACACCCACGGATCTGTTGCCAAGTCCTTATGTTAAATAGCAGTCGATCTATGGTTGATTCTGAGTAG